TGATCCCAAAAAGAGACTGCAAACAGGTACATGGTTATCTTTTGACAGTAATGGTTTGTTATTGCTGTTCCTGTAGAAATACTGGATGGGTCATTGTCAAATTTGTGCATTGTCTGATTTCGGGACGGATCTGAAAAAAACAATATGGCTGACAGTTGGCAGTTTATTTTTTAACCGTCTTAATTCATTATTGTTATTTCTTGAGAAGTTCCTAAGATGTATCTTTCCAAAATCTACCATGTAGGTTCCCTTTCGTCCTTTGTTGTGCTGAATGGTAGTCATCTATGATTGAAGTAGAGAAGACCGTGATTAATTTTGCTTGAAAAGAGCATGGTTGATCTTTCTCAAATTTCATATGTAGGTTCCCTTAATCCCTTCTTGTATATAAATGCATTGTTATAGGTATACTGTACATAGATATATTGTTAGGGATACACTGTACATAGATATATTGTTAGGGATACACTGTACATAGATACATTGTTAGGGATACACTGTACATAGATATATTGTTAGGGATACACTGTACATAGATATATTGTTAGGGATACACTGTACATAGATATATTGTTAGGGATACACTGTACATAGATACATTGTTAGGGATACACTGTACATAGATACATTGTTAGGGATACACTGTACATAGATACATTGTTAGGGATACACTGTACATAGATACATTGTTAGGGATACACTGTACATAGATACATTGGTAGGGATACACTGTACATAGATACATTGTTAGGGATACACTGTATATAGATACACTGTACATAGATACATTGGTAGGGATACACTGTATATAGATACATTGTTAGGGATACACTGTACATAGATACATTGTTAGGGATACACTGTATATAGATACATTGTTAGGGGTACACTGTACATAGATACATTGGTAGGGATACACTGTACATAGATACATTGTTAGGGATACACTGTACATAGATACATTGGTAGGGATACACTGTATATAGATACATTGTTAGGGATACACTGTACATAGATACATTGTTAGGGATACACTGCACATAAATACATTGCTAGGGATACACTGTACATAGATACATTGTTAGGGATACACTGTATATAGATACATTGTTAGGGGTACACTGTACATAGATACATTGTTAGGGGTACACTGTACATAGATATATTGTTAGGGATACACTGTATATAGATACATTGTTAGGGATACACTGTATATAGATACATTGTTATTGGTTCAGTTAATGACAACCCTCTTGTAGTGGATGCTGTTAATATTGTACTACAAAGTTCTGAGGATGATGGAGAGGAAAGGAGTGGTTATTATGATATACATGATTAATGATGTTGTATTGATTAACAGTGTTTTTTACCCTGCAACAAGTGGTATATTGAGGCAAGGGTATAAAAAACAAGCCAAACCTTAATTGAAGTAACAGCATTGGTCCTACTCCCGGATCAATGATGTGGATATATCCTGTGTGTTATGTTTAAAATTTCCTTAGACAGTGATGAAGACGAGGAAGGTGTACATTTATATTTTATACCAGTACAATCTATTTAGTTGTCAAGTTTTTCATAATAACCTTTTAATATACCCTTTTTTGCTCACCTTGTGCGAAGGACAACACTTTGATAAAAATTGCTTCTAATTATGCAGGACTGACAGATTTTAATCAAAATTGGTCAGAAGCATCCTTTGGGACAGGGAAACAAGTTTGTACAAATACTGGTTCTCTGCCCCCAAGGGGTGGGAGGGATGGGCACAATAAGGGAAATAGAGTAAATTCTCATTTAGCCTGAAGCATTCTTGAATAAAAGGGAATAAATCTTGTCACAACATTGTGTCTCTGCCCCCGAGGAGACAGAATGTGGCCCAATTAGTGAAATAGAGTAATTCATTAAAATTCTACTCCTCCTCTAGGAATGATTGGATTTTATATGACCAAATTTGGTCTCAAGCATTCTTTTGGTGAAGAGTAATAAATTTTTCCAAGTGAGTGATACAAGCGCTGTGGGCCTCTTGTTATAATGTATGAACTTCATTTATAAGATATGTACATGTGTATGAATACCCTCTAATAGCCAACACTCGTAACTTTTGAACAGGAAAGTGTATTACATATGGACAGGCCTCGGGGATATATATACATTTATTTTGTACATATTCAGATTGTCTTCAACTTATCCCTGACCTTTAAAACCTGTTTGTCTTGAGTGCCTGGTTAATATAATTGGAGGAGTAGGATCTTGCAACATTGAGAGAGAGCTTCCTAATGATATGGAGGTCAGTTAAACATATGCAGTCCTTGTAACATAACATTCTCAAGTCCTCCTACATATCATCAATGCCTATTAGTATCCTGGATACTATAAGTAAGGTAATCACACATACCTGTTTTCTCAGTAATTGCATTTTACCTACAAGTTCATATTGACCTGATAAGCACACATACCCATATAAGCACTAATTTGCCTAATACACACAACTGACTCAGACCCCAAATTTAGATCTCTCTTGCCAAATAAACACATCTAAACCATCAAGCTTAATTTTTTTTCTTATAAGCACACCAACCTGTATATACACTATTTTATCTAATAAACACAACTCTCAGTCTGAATGCCTGCATTTCCCTTTAGTGTTCTTGTAAGTATGCAGTGAGCTTATCAAGTCAAATACTGTATCTCTCGTCATATTGATCTGAAGAATAATATTTCAGTGATGATGACTATATATAAGTTGGTCCTGTAATTACTAGCATACATGGTACTTATTATCTTATCAGATTATGGAACTTGCTTCTATATATCACAGTGAGTAGTCTACAGCATCACTTTAATCTTCTCTTTTATGGAATTTTTTCATTGATGACTGAAGTTGGTCAGTGCTGCCTGGAGATCCAGTTATTTCCTGATAACGCTTATTAATAGTATGAAAAATTTGAGTCCTTACAGAGGGAAAATACTCCAGGTTTTGTTTGATACAAAGAATTAATTACTTCAGTGCTTTCAGTGGAATTGAACAAAAACCTCAGGCAACCTATCAAGATTACAAAAAATTTCTACAGCTTCGGTTGTGCTATAGATGTGTCACTTTAAAAATCATAGACAAATGTATTTTGTGGGGGTCAGTTTTTGTGTTGTTTTTTTTTTTTTTAAATAGTGGTCCCCATATTGTAAGGAACGGGGCAGCTGATATATCAGTGTAGTTTATAACCCAGTGTAGTATGGTATAGTGAAGCCCATGGTCAAATGAACCAATCGTTTTGCAATTCATCCTCATTCAATCATATAAACACATAAATAACAAAAACTAGGTTTGGGGTGGGGCAGGGGTGGGGGGGGGGGGCGGGGTTCTCTTCACCGTTGCCATGGTAAAGTGAAGCATTACACTATTTTCTTATTAACTTTTTTTTTATCAATTGTTTTGCAATTGATCACCATTAAATCATATAAACACATGAATAACAAAAAAATGTTTGGGTTGGGGAAATTTAGAGTGGGGCAGGAGAGGTTGAAGTGACACTTCATCATGGCCACAAAAATTACATTAACTTTTGGTCAGTAATGGATAATGGTATAGAATGCTAGCTAATAGGTTGGTTATTCATCAAGAGGCTATTATTACTGTTTCAGTATAATCTTTTTGTTGGTGTTAAGTAGAATAATAATTAAGGGATGTGTGATTTATACAGTATATAAATGACACCTGTTTACAAAATACATGTGTAACAGACACTGTGTCTGGCTGAGAACATGTCAATCTAACACAAGTTGTTCCTTGGGTTTTACCTCTTGAAAAAGTTTAATAAAACAATGATCATGAAAATCTATTTCCTACATTGATGTGTTTAAAGTTTAAGTCACATTCATTATTAATTGATTATTAATTATGACTTCGCCCTAGTGAAAAGTTAGAAGAAATAAGTCTCTTTTGTTAAGTAGATAATATGCATTACTCTATGGCATATGTATTATACAATATGTATATAGTGAAAATAGACAGATTTGATGTGAAGAAATGGAAGCAGATTGATGTAATTTAAAATATGTTGAAATAATGAAAATCACTTTTTTACAACCTAGATAGAGACAGACAGACAGAAAAGATGGAATAAAGATTTAATACCATACTTCATCTTGTCTTAATTAATCTGCCCCACCCTAAATTTCCCATTCCCAGACCTATTTTTTTTTTAAATAGGTGTTAATATGATTGAATCAGGGTGAATAGAAAAGGAATTGGTAAAAAATGTTAATTAGTAAGAAAATAGTGTAATGCTTCACTTTACCATGGCTACGGTGAAGTGAAACCCCCCTCCCACCTGCCTCACCCTAAATTTCCCCAACCATTGTTATTTTTCAGTTCTGTTATGTATCGAGGAACATATTTAAGTAACGTGATAAAAAATTAAGTGAAAACAGCAATTGAAAACAAAATATAAAGTGGCTTCACTTTATCATGCTACACCGGAAAATATGGTACCCATGAAATGAGCTGAAATTAAACCCCAAGAAAATTAAAGTTTCAACAGTACTTTGTTAAATATTGGCACCTGCTTATGTAGGGACCCAGGAGGAATTACGGAAATACTCAACCTTGCTTCACAAGCATTGCAGCTGGAAAACTAGAGGGCAAGTTCTCACTTGCAGAGGGAATCTTTACCTTGTAAACACAAGCATGGATTTAAGGTATCAAAATCTGTGATATAACAGCCTGTAGCCACAATTTTGATATATGTGTGTCCCACCCAGCTTTATACATCTTCTTTTTAAATCTACATTGCATGTCATTTTACATGGGTATAAACCTGAATAAATTTGAATTAAGTAGAATAATGTAATGTGTACAGGTAAAATATTGTTCTATTTTTTTATTTTACAGGTACACTGACAACGAATTCAATCCAACAAGCAGTCTTTTGTTTGGAATGGCAGCAAGCTCATAACCATTATATAGAAAAATCTATTTTTGAAAGGCACTGCATCAAAAACTAGTCATTATGCGTTTTTCTCTGTCCTTCATGGTGGTTGTTATGGCAGGAGTTATAGTCCTAATTTTATTGATGTTACATACTGTAAATCAGAAGTCGTCTGGACCACCTGTCATTGTCATCAATGATAATTCCAATAAAGACTTCAGCCTTCCGTTTGACCAAAGAAGAAAGCAAGTGGTTGGTGCACAAGCATTTCAGCCAAGAGGAATTGTACAGAGGCATAACGAATCATATGATTACAAAAAGGTTTTAGCAAAGCTAAATGGGGACGGCACTGCAATGGATGAACCACGTCTTATTGAAATCATCCGAAATCATTTCATCGTCCCTCCTTCGAAAGAGCCATACAATCTCGAAATCCCTGACAGATTGGATTATTCTAATGGACAGACACCTTTCATTGACAGTCGTTTGAACTATATAGTATGTAACTTAACGAAAATCGAAACTTTTTGTCTGTTTCCTTTGCTTCTGTCGATCTCATACTTCAACTTTCAATTTTTATGTTTTTATATTTTTATGTTCTTTGCCCTTCTGGTCCGGAGGTTCAATGAATTTGTGCCATATGGTGCGGAATCCATTAATTTAAAAATCTTTTACATAAATAGTGGGTTTGGGCACCCTGGTGGCACAGGGACAAGGCTTAGGATCCAATGGATGGAAGAGAGATAAATCTTGAATCTTTGGATACAGTGGGACTCCATTTTTTATTAGGAAATAAAATGCACTCTTGTTGTGTACTGGGTATATTTATGATCTAATTACTACCCAAAAATTTTCAATCTGTCCAAACTCGGAGCCTTTGACCCCTCAGTTACAAAGTTATTGCCCCTTGTTGAAAATTTCTTGTCCAGAGCAAGCAAAACTTTGCCAACAGTTAAGCAAGGATTAGGAATTTTTTTTGTATACATTGGTCATATTAAGATAGTGTTCTGTGAATCAAATTCAGGGCACTTGACACCTCAATTACAGAGTTACTGCCCTTTGTTGTAAATTTCTTGTCCAGAGCATACCTTTGCCAACAGTTAAGCAAGGATCAGGAAATTTTTTGTATACGTTGATCAAACAAAACATTGTGCAGTGTTGAAATTTAGTGTCTGGAGCTTTACTTTGCCTGCATTAAAACAAGGATATTGATATGTGATATATACATTGATTATTCAAAAGCAAAGTGCAGTATAGCAAAGTCAGTGTCCATGACCCCTCAGTACAGAATTATTGCCCTTTGTTAAAATTTTGTGTCATGAGCATATCTTTGCATTTGTTTAAACTAGAAGCATGCAAATTTATAAATACATTGGTCATACTAAGAGAATGTGCTGCATACTAAATTCAGGCCCTGCGACCCTGTAAGTACCAAAGTAATGCCTTTTGGTAAAATTTTATGTTAATAAAGTTGTCTTGGTGGGGTTTTATCATTTTCACTAATACTCTTTTTTTCTTAAACCTTAAAATTAAATAAATGTTGTAAATGGGGTTTTTTTTTCTCTCCTATACTTTTTAAAGAAATAAAATACCAAAAAAATATTTTGTATATATTAAATGTATTTATGATCTAACTACTTTTATTCTTTATAATTATTTATGGCATATTCTCTGTCACGTAATCAAAAAATAAAAAAGCAGAAAAAAATATGAATGGAAATGACACATTCAGCAATATAAAATTGAATATGTGATGCTGTACTTTGAATATTTTGATTCTTTCCTAGGAAGGAGGGTTCTATGTTGAATGTGGAGCTCTGAATGGAGAAAAAGGATCCAACAGTTTATTTTTTGAGAAAGTCCGAAAATGGAATGGATTACTCATTGAAGCTGATCCTTCTAACTATGAAGTCTTGATGACCAAACACAGAAAAGCCTTCACCATGCACGCTTGTCTCAATCCTAAGCCATATCCTGCTGTGGTAAGTCATCTAAACAGGTCATACCATGCTATGGTAGGTCATTTAGTCAGGCCATATTGTGCTATGGTAGGTCATTTAGTGAGGTCATACCATGCTATGGTAGGTCATTTAGTGAGGTCATACCGTGCTATGGTAGGTCATTTGGCCAGGTCATATCATGCTGTGGTAAGTCATCTAGCCATGTCATACCCTACTGTGTTAAGTCATCTAGCCATGTCATACCCTACAGTGGTAAGTCATCTAGCCATGTCATACCCTACTGTGGTAAGTCATCTAGCCATGTCATACCCTACTGTGTTAAGTCATCTAGCCATGTCATACCCTACTGTGTTAAGTCATCTAGCCATGTCATACCCTACTGTGGTAAGTCATCTAGCCATGTCATACCCTACTGTGGTAAGTCATCTAGCCATGTCATACCCTACTGTGGTAAGTCATCTAGCCATGTCATACCCTACTGTGGTAAGTCATCTAGCCATGTCATACCCTACTGTGGTAAGTCATCTAGCCATGTCATACCCTACTGGGGTAAGTCATCTAGCCATGTCATACCCTACTGTGGTAAGTCATCTAGCCATGTCATACCCTACTGTGGTAAGTCATCTAGCCATGTCATACCCTACTGTGGTAAGTCATCTAGCCATGTCATACCCTACTGTGGTAAGTCATCTAGCCATGTCATACCCTACTGTGGTAAGTCATCTAGCCATGTCATACCCTCTAGCCAGCTCATTCACTGCTGTGGTTAATCATCTAGGCAGATCATGCCTTGCTGTAATAACACATCTAACCAGGCCATACCCAGTTGTGGTAAATCATCTAGCCAGGTCATACCCTACTGTGGTAAGTCATCTAGCCATGTCATACCCTACTGTGGTAAGTCATCTAGCCATGTCATACCCTACTGTGGTAAGTCATCTAGCCATGTCATACCCTACTGTGGTAAGTCATCTAGCCATGTCATACCCTACTGTGGTAAGTCATCTAGCCATGTCATACCCTACTGTGGTAAGTCATCTAGCCATGTCATACCCTACTGTGGTAAGTCATCTAGCCATGTCATACCCTACTGTGGTAAGTCATCTAGCCATGTCATACCCTACTGTGGTAAGTCATCTAGCCATGTCATACCCTACTGTGGTAAGTCATCTAGCCATGTCATACCCTACTGTGGTAAGTCATCTAGCCATGTCATACCCTACTGTGGTAAGTCATCTAGCCATGTCATACCCTACTGTGGTAAGTCATCTAGCCAGCTCATTCACTGCTGTGGTTAATCATCTAGGCAGATCATGCCTTGCTGTAATAACACATCTAACCAGTCCATACCCAGTTGTGGTAAATCATCTAGCCAGGTCATACCCTGCTATTGTTATTAAAGTCACCTACCCAAGCCCCACACTGCTGTGGTAAGACACCCTCCATCAGATAGAGTGACTTTTTGTCAACTTTGTCATTGAACATCAAATTCAAATGTCGCACAATGATTTACATGCAAAGACAGTACATGTTTTGTTAAAAACAAAGAAGAAACAAAAATGAAAAACTGGCTTTTAAGTATCAAAAGAAAGTCTAGATATGGGTATCTATGTTGATATGCAATAAAGGGATGTATGTGGTGGTCAGCATTTACAAGAAAAATTAATAGAAAGGTGAATAGATGGTGAGCTTTTGCCATGGCACTGTGTCTGGCATCTGGTGTCAGTCAACCTTTTAACGAAATATTTTACTAGTCATGAATGACTGCACAGATTTCGAACAAATTTGGTTCTTTGGAGGAGAAGAACCAGGGGCCCAAAAGGGGAAATTTTACAAATTCTTTAAAATCCCACTCCTCCAGTAGGAATAAATGGATATTTGCCCAAATTTGGTTTGAAACATTCTAAGGTGAAAGGGAATCAATCTTGCGTAAACATGAGGTCTCAGCCCCATTGGGCGGAAGGGGCAGGGCCGCATAGGAGCAATAAAGCAAATTATTTAAAATCTTTCTTCTGTAGATATATATATCTCCTAATTAGACCTGAAACTTACATAGGTTAAGAATAAGTAGTGTATAAATGGTGGGTCTGGACCTGTTAAATGATTGAATATCTGAATTAGTCAGGTAAGCAATGCAGGCCCATTTGGCCTCTTGTACTTGTTTTTTTTTCACCAATTGTTACCAAAATTGAAACCATCAGGTAGATTAATAAAATTGTCAATCAATAATGCTGTTTAAGATATACATGCCATTACATGTATGCTGTACCATTACGTGTATACTGTACCATTACATGTATGCTGTACCATTACGTGTATGCTGTACCATTATGTGTATGCTGTACCGTTACGTGTATACTGTGCCATTATGTGTATGCTATACCATTACGTGTATGCAGTACTGTTTTGTGTCTATGGTATCATTATGTCCCCCAAACGAAGTGGGGGAACATATTGTGTTTGCTCTGTTTCTTCTTATTATTATTATAATTATTGTTTTTATTATTATTATTAACAAAACTTTACACACATATTCATACATGCGAGGTGGAGTGCAGGCCACCAATCGGTCATCTGAGCGGTCAGCTGTGGTCAAAATTTGGCCAAATTTTAGATATTGTCCGATTTTCGTGAAAATTGGTATATATGTATTAGGTGGCACTAGGAGCAAAATGGCGTAGTCCATGTTTGGCATGACTGCAGGTCTGATTATTGTGATCATTTACTGCTGAAGGGGTCGTTTGGGGGACATTTGTAATGGTCCCCATTACAATTAGTACTTGTTACATTATGCTTTATATATATGCTTCATACCTTTGAGTTTCTGATCATGGTGTTAAAGGGTTTTGGCCATGGTTTTTCCTAATGCCATATTCAGCCTAAAATGGTGCAATAATGTATCTAGTCTGCAGTACCCAGTCTCTCTCAAGTGGTTAGCTCATTAAATTTCTCACTCATGCATAACAAGTACTTTGGACTGCCTGAAAACAGGTATGTGGATATATTTGATTTTAAGCAGTGGGATCTGGGTGGCAGTGGTATTTATATTAAGATGTAACAGAATTTAACATAAACTGAGATAGTGGCCAAACCTCTTTAACTCAATTTACCCCAGGTACAAACTGAATAGGTATAATAGAAAAGTCTGTTACATATTACCATTTGAATGCTATATGTCAGCTAAATCTGGATGATTCCAGGAAGCAAGAGTAATGATAAATACTTATATCTACTGTATTTTCTTCAGTGAAAATTTTCTGTGAATACTTATATCTACTGTATTTTCTTCAGTGAAAATTTTCTGTGAATACTTATATCTACTGTATTTTCTTCAGTGAAAATTTTCTCTGAAATAAGTTTTTCATTGAACAATTATTACTGTGTAGTCTTTTCATGCTCAACATTTTTTATATAAGTTTTGATGTCCTAGCAACAGCAATATCATATCTAACTCTGTCCATACAGTTCCTGTTATGTCACTCTGTCCATACAGTTCCTGTTACGTCACTCTGTCCATACAGTTCCTGTTACGTCACTCTGTCCATACAGTTCCTGTTACGTCACTCTGTCCATACAGTTCCTGTTACGTCACTGTCCATACAGTTCCTACAGTTCACGTCACTACAGTTCCTCCATACAGTTCCTGTCCATACAGTTCCACGTCACTGTCCATACAGTTCCTGTTACGTCACTGTCCATACAGTTCCTGTTACGTCACTCTGTCCATACAGTTCCTGTTACGTCACTCTGTCCATACAGTTCCTGTTACGTCACTCTGTCCATACAGTTCCTGTTACGTCACTCTGTCCATACAGTTCCTGTTACGTCACTCTGTCCATACAGTTCCTGTTACGTCCAATAGTTCCTTCCTGATTCAATGTCATCAATTTTTAGATATTTTGCATTAATCTTGACATTTTTACATATTTTGTAGATGACATTCAACAAAGCCTTTAATAGGGGGAGAGTGGTTCATAATCAAGATGCCAAGAATTGGATCAAAAAGCAAAACATCCAATCTGACCCCGTACAAGTGCAGTGTCTACCATTATACTCCATATTGCTGGCCCTCAACCAAACAACGGTGGACTTCTTCAGTCTGGATGTCGAGGGTGATGAACTTAGTGTACTCAAGACTATTCCCTTTGATAAGGTTAACATTAAAATGTTGACAGTAGAATATGTCCATGATACTGGCCGATTTTCAGAGTTACAGGCATTCATGGAGAAAAATGGGTATGAAACACTTCTTCGAATGCAGAGAGATAATGGCTCGGTAAATGACATTATATTTAGAAAGAAAGGACTAAATCATTGAGGTCTGTAAGGTTTTAATGTAACCTTTCTTAGTGATATGAAAATGTGTCATAATAATTCCCTGCTAAATTAACATTCATTTCTATGTTCCCATCAGTTCATGGTCTCGGCCATGTGTACATAGTATTACCATTTCCAGTTCTGCTCATTTACTCTTTAATAGATCCAGGTAGAGAACTGATATATAGATAATTGTCATATACTGGTCAAACCCTGATTTGAACTTTTAGACTTTTAAGTAAAATATTCACAAAAACAGGAAGACCAGTATTTGAGAGCCTTTCCTCAGTAGGAATTACGCAGGCAGAATTTCAATTTTAATTCCAATTATTTACCATTGATTCTGTCGTCTGAATTTGATTTATTTTAAATGCTATAGATTCTACAGGAATTTTTATTTCACGAGTGCACTTTTTACCAAAGTAAATAACATTAAATGTTCCAAACTTTGTCCTTGGTTGCTTGCTGGGTGTTAGTGTTGCTATGACAACTCTAGTTTAATTGGTAATTTGATCTTCAGAAATTGACTCACTTTTTATGGTATGTCCATTATGGTGGTTTCAAAATACACCGGTATGTAATTTTGATAGCTGTATATTTTGCAAAGGTGCTTGTCTCAGCTTTGAGTGGTGTGCCATAACAGACAGATATATTCCTGTCACTTTCACTAGGAAACAATACAGGTTTAGATTACCATACTTTAATTTGAAATTTTTCAATGGTAAATGAACATTGAAAAACTCTTATTTCAAATTTGAATTGTACATGTAACTGGCTTACATGAGAGAAAATACATGTTTGTCAAATCACCAATTCTCAACATTCCTGTACCATTTTTTTTCTTTCATAGGTACATAGTACATGTAAATCTGTCTAGATTTCAATAATTCATTTTACATTGATTAAAATGACGTATAATATTGACTGATACATTGATTACAATGACGTATAATATTGACTGATACATTGATTACAGTGACGTATAATATTGACTGATACATTGATTACAGTGACGTATAATATTGACTGATACATTGATTACAGTGACGTATAATATTGACTGATACATTGATTACAATGACGTATAATATTGACTGATACATTGATTACAGTGACGTATAATATTGACTGATACATTGATTACAGTGACGTATAATATTGACTGATACATTGATTACAGTGACGTATAATACTGACTGATACATTGATTACAGTGACGTATAATATTGACTGATACATTGATTACAATGACGTATAATATTGACTGATACATTGAATACAATGACGTAGAGGTCAATCACAACAGGTGCCCAAAATCACTGTTATGATGTCCTGAACAAGCCCCAATAAGGGGCGAAACCTTTCGACAAATAAATTTATGAACCAAGCCTCTTTGCTTGTTGTGATTGACCTCTACGCTTTGATACTCAATATTCCTTCAATCACCCTGCATACCTTCGGGTATCCAGATGAAGAGGGTAAGGATCCTACTAACCTCCAACCGAACCACACCCGGTGTTGGCTCCACTACCCCCTTCTATTGATTACAATGAAGTATAATATTGACTGATACATTGATTACAATGAAGTATAATATTGACTGATACATTGATTACAATGAAGTATAATATTGACGAATCATAGAAAATGTCCCTATCATGTACCACCTATCTACTTTTTATGTCTTACTTGACTATTGAGGATGTTTTCGTTGCCATAGATGTTTCTTAAATGGCAGATTTAAATTGTTTTGACTGTTTGGGTGATGTCAGATATCATTTGTCAAGACTTTGTGTGAATCAGATAAGTTTTCTGGGCTGTTGGTACGGAAGTCAACTGTTAGTTGTTTGATATTAATTGATAGAATGAAGTCAAGTTTATATTGACATGTATGAACTGGTTGTGTGAAGTCAAATGGTGATTAATTTACATGAATTGATACAGTAGTAAGAAGCCATATTTGATTGGTGATGACTGGATGATGACGAACTGTGATTGAGTTGCCTTGAATGCAGTGAAATGATATCAAACTTGGTTCATCTTTTTTTTTCTGTTTTTGTTTTGATATCAAATGACCATGTATTTATCAATGTTGTTTATGTTTAACATTTCATCAGTATTTCTATCCATTACTTTGGCTTGTTAATCCTTTTCTTTTCTTCTTTGATTTTGAAAGTAGGAGTATACCTACTATAAGACATCAAAAATGTTTACAAGGAGGCTGACTGCTGTATGTAGACTTACTGGGAAATACATGTTAGAGATAACAAGTCCATCAATTCAGACAGCTTTATCTTGTAAAATATATACATGCAGCAGTATACTTTAACTATTTTTTACTAGTCAAACTCAAGGTACATAGTACATGCAAAATCTGTCTCGATTTTAATAGTTCATTTTACAAAAATGTACATGCTATTACACAGAAAAGATTTTTTTTTTTCTCTCAAATGTTAGATACAAACAAAAAAGAAAAATGATAAAGATTTCAGTATTTCTATAAGATATCGGTATTTCTATAAGATATCGGTATTTCTATAAGGTTTCGGTATTTCTATAAGGTTTCGGTATTTCTTTAAGATTTCGATATTTCTGTATTTCTATAAGATATAAGTAATAAGATTTCGGTTCGGTATTTCTATAAGATTTCGGTATTTCTATAAGATATCGGTATTTCTATAAGATTTCAGTGTTTCTATAAGATTTCAGTATTTCTGTAAGATATCAGTGTTTCTATGGCAAAATTTTGGAGCAGCCAGATCTGGAGATGCTTTTCATTATTAGATTATATGTTCAGAATTTCTGTTCGACATAACTAATTAAAGTTTGCTAAATGTGCATGTAAAATGCACAAAATTTCCTGGTTATGATAGTAACACTATCTGAGATACTGTTACAGGATATTCTCTATTGACACCTGAAAGGAAATATTTCAAAAGCACTGTTTTCAAGTCCTTGGTGTTGGATTAATCATTTTCAGAACTTTAACAGAAAATAAACTTGCATCTGAAATGTGAAAATATTTACAGCTTATTGTATCTATCTCTATTCATATATCCATGCTTAGTAATTGTAATTCTTTCAATTAAAAAATCTGATTCCAGACTGGAAAAATCCATAGCTGATAAAAATGGAAAATTATGCAACTTGCTTGAAAAAGCTACAATTTCAAAGTTTTAATTGTTCCTTTATTTATTACTGAAAAAAAATCAGTTTTACTGGCATGAAGAAGTACAGATCAGTGTATTTATAATTAACGATTCCTGTATTTTTTTGTCTTTGTCCAACTGTTTGGTATCTGAACTAAATATATACTATTTATATGTTGATATACATGTATATTGAAAAATTACCTTTCTTTGAGGGATTTAAATATTGATATACAACATAGATGGTAATGTTTCCCAGAGTTTAATTCCATTGTTGTTTTCAAAGTGAAATCATCACAACTAACTGTTTGTACTCATTGATTTCATAATCTTAATTTCACAATTTTGTTTACAGTAAAGACATGCACAGGTATTTAATTGAAGTGATATACATTGGAAATCTGATAAGTAATAATGTATTGATAACTGTTATAAAGGAAAATTCCATTCTGAAGAAGAATTGTAAAAAAAATAAACACTTGCTGATATATGTATTGATAGCTTCTAATGAATTTAATAACTAAAAATTGTACAAAGAAATGTATATTGAAAATGACATTCCATATGAGCTGGTCACTGGTTGTTTTCTGTACTATGTTGGTATGTTGATGCAGTTGATTATGCATGTCATTAACTTTGAAGTTGTTATTCCTGCCACACCTTTTGTTTACAATAGTTGTATGTGTTTGCTACATGTATGCCAGACAGAAATTTTTTGTTTAAATTTTTTTGTTAATAAATGTATTTAACAAAAAGTCTAATATATATTATTATATAATTTTATGTATTGTGTTAGGCAAAAAAGAAAAAAATGAATACCTACAATAGATTTATGTGCAACAGAGACAAAATAAGGCTTTAAATGATAGGTAGTGTTTTCTTTGTTAATCAAATTGAAAAACAAGGTTGTAGATATTTATCGCTTCATCTGATATGACAAGCACAGAAAGTCTATGAATGTAAAATTGATCTTGTATCAGTAAGTATATTGTATATGTATGTACCGTATAATTTTTTATTATTGGTAATGTACATAGGGTGTTAGAAACTCATTGGGTGTATGACCTGACTGGTCAGGTCACATGGGAATGTGGGTGCGCTATGCAGAGGGAATGTATTTATTGTAGATGTGTGTATTGTGTCGTTTTCTTTGCTGAAAGAATAATTTATGTGGCAATTGTCAGCCAGACTTGAATGCATAAGTACTGTGTATTTAGTTTTTAAATGGAGTCTTTAGTGTTCGTATCAATGTTATGAATTTATGATATTGATTCCAGGGTAGTTCTGTAACCATCATGTAAGTGATGTTTTACTTACGATTTGTAGGCTCATACTTGTCAGAGAAAGAATGTCAAAGTGTAAATTGGGTCAAATTAGAATTTTCCAAATACATTCCATTGACTTTTTTCAAAACAAATTATTCTTTTTTGTAAGTTGTTACAAATATCAGTTTATCTTTACAAAAGACACCTTATACTGAGTGATATATACTATACAGTCAAATAATGAAATCAAACCATGCATCATACAGCTGTTTTATCCTTCCAGGACTTGTCAGTGGTGCTTAGAACCTAAGACCAATAAATGTAGAAATCTTGAGGATGACTTAAATATTGACCTAAATGTTGAATTTAGCTGGGTTATTTACTAAACCCAAATTCATTCTCTTTTTTTTTGTTATTTTGTTTGTTAATTTTGCAGTGAATTACATATTGACCAAAATAGATGTTGAATTTAGCTGGGTTATTGTACTCCAAATTCATTATTTTTTTCATAGATTTTGTGGCTTTCAGTGTTAACTGGTTTCAAAAAAAAGTAAACTCAAAAACATGTATAAATAAAATCGGTAACG